TCCTAGTTATCAGTTCCAAACTGTAAACATCATATATTTCAACATATAGTTGCTTCCTAATTATCAGTTCCAAATAAAAACATTATATGTTTCAACATATAGTTGCTTCCTAGTTATCAGTTCCAAACTGTAAACATCATATATTTCAACATATAGTTGCTTCCTAATTATCAGTTCCAAATAAAAACATTATATATTTCAACATATAGTTGCTTCCTAGTTATCAGTTCCAAATAAAAACATTATATGTTTCAACATATAGTTGCTTCCTAGTTATCAGTTCCAAATAAAAACATTATATGTTTCAACATATAGTTGCTTCCTACTTATCAGTTCCAAATAAAAACATTATATGTTTCAACATATAGTTGTTTCCTGGTCATCAGTTCCAAATAAAACATTATATGTTTCATCATATAGTTGCTTCCTAGTTATCAGTTCCAAATAAAACATCATATGTTTCAACATATAGTTGCTTCCTAGTTATCAGTTCCAAATAAAACATTATATGTTTCAACATATAATTGCTTCCTAGTCATCAGTTCCAAACTGTAAACATTATATGTTTCAACATATAGTTGCTTCCTAGTCATCAGTTCCAAACTGTAAACATTATATGTTTCAACATATAGTTGCTTCCTAGTCATCAGTTCCAAACTGTAAACATTATATGTTTCAACATATAGTTCTTTCCTAGTCATCAGTTCCGAACTGTAAACATTATACGTTTCAACATATAGTTGTTTCCTAGTCATCAGTTCCAAACTGTAAACATTGATATCTATTTTTACCTTCTAAATATTTTTCTGTTTTTGCTATTTTCCAAATTCCTTTTTTTTTCACTTTCATTAGCACAGATATTATAGTTGTTACTCAAATTAGTAAATCACACCAGCCTTGTAAAGACGAAATTTGATAGTTTACCAATGTCTTTTTACATACACATGTTACATTAGTTAAAATAATGTACTTTATTATTAACTTACGTATTCAACATTATGTTTACAAATTATTTATAAATTACAAAAAATCCTGCTAACCTCGTAAGTGAATGGAAGTTTTTGTGCGGAACAATGTTTAAAGACAACATATTTCTATCATTCATTAGCCATAATGATAGGTTGAATCAACAGGCAGGATTTATTTTTATCTAATTTGGTTAAAGTTCAAATCAGTAGATACTCAACTGTTCATTAGAATTAATTTTGAAGAACTAATGTTTTCATTTCTTAAACAGTTACATGACACACTGCAACATGTTAATCACAAGCTACATGATAAACAGATAAAGAGTGAGTGGTTCATGTCCATCTTTGTACACTGTCTTCTTCCTGTGGTTGTGCTCTACATACATATAAGAAGCAGCTGACCTAAAGTGTAATCAACTTATCATTAAACTCAACTGAATCTTAGTTAATCAAGTGGTTTCCCACTAGTGTTGTTCATAGGTTTATCCAGACACTCTGTTATTTCAGGATTTTACTTAAAATTAAAAACTACTTGAAGATATATTGAATACTGGAGAATTTCATTAATAATTGAGGGTTAGTAACTTTGAAAATTTACATTTGAATTACAGAATCATTTATTTAGGAACTTTGTAAATAACATACACTTTAAAAAAGACAATTTTTAAGGAATACAGAAAAATACAAAAATTTTCTTATCTAGATGACTACTATAGTATTTCTAAATATGATCAAATTTTAAGTTTTCATTTTATTTTATATTTATTTATATAAATATAATAAATATTAAGAGAGAACATTTACACTGAGTGTTTATATCTGATACCACGATCGGTACGGAGCTTGAAGATGGCCCACTCCTATCAACTAAATCGTTACACTTCTAATTGTCTTAAAACCTGTTCACAATATTAAACATGCTGAATGTTAGAACAAAGAATTTTTCATTAGTAAAAATATGTGTATTTTAATAGATATTTATAGTTGAATAAAATATTAAACATTAAAGTGGAATATTAACCAAATTTTGAAACCATCCTATACATTAACATGCTAAGATTATTGAATATTATTAATATATTATACACCACTCTTCAGATTTTTAAAAATCTCAACTAAGTTGTCAATGCAGACTTTTGATGAAGTTCCACACATTGGAAAGTTCCTTGGTTACACGGTTTACTTTCATTTCTAACACTGGGAAACTTTCTCTCATTTCATAAGTTAACTCATTAAGGCTCTAAAAAACAAAACAGCCACAGAAACAGTGTTAATAGTAGAACAATTAATAAGAGAGTTTCTTACACATCAATACTCATTTAGTTCTAATTATAATACTGACAACTGAAGCAAACATTATGACCAACTGTATCTTACACATCAATACTCATTTAGTTCTAAACATAATACTGACAACTGAACTAAACATTATGACCAACTGTATCTTACACATCAATACTCATTTAGTTCTAAACATAATACTGACAAAAGTTCAAATCA